ATCCCATACCATACCATGCCTTTCCTCACACCATGTTATTTATCAGGTTTCGTGCCCCTCCCACCCCTCCAGGGAGGCCCCGCCTGAGCGAGCAGGGTATTCGCACACCATGTTATTTATCAGGTTTCGCGCCCCTCCCACCCCTCCAGGGAGGCCCCGCCTGAGCGAGCAGGGTATTCGCACACCATGTTATTTATCAGGTTTCGTGCCCCTCCCACCCCTCCAGGGAGGCCCCGCCTGAGCGAGCAGGGTATTCGCACACCATGTTGTTTATCAGGTTTCGTGCCCCTCCCACCCCTCCAGGGAGGCCCCGCCTGAGCGAGCAGGGTATTCGCACACCATGTTATTTATCAGGTTTCGTGCCCCTCCCACCCCTCCAGGGAGGACCCGCCTGAGCGGGCAGGGTATTCGCACACCATGTTATTTATCAGGTTTCGTGCCCCTCCCACCCCTCCAGAGGGGCCCCGCCTGAGCGAGCAGGGTATTCGCACACCATGTTATTTATCAGGTTTCGTGCCCCTCCCACCCCTCCAGGGGGGCCCCGCCTGAGCGAGCAGGGTATTCGCACACCATGTTATTTATCAGGTTTCGTGCCCCTCCCACCTCTCCAGGGAGGCCTCGCCTGAGCGAGCAGGGTATTCGCACACCATGTTATTTATCAGGTTTCGTGCCCCTCCCACCCCTCCAGGGAGGCCCCGCCTGAGCGAGCAGGGTATTCGCACACCATGATATTTATCAGGTTTCATGCCCCTCCCACCCTCCAGGGAGGCCCCGCCTGAGCGAGCAGGGTATTCGCACACCATGTTATTTATCAGGTTTCGTGCCCCTCCCACCCCTCCAGGGAGGCCCCACCAGAGCGGGAAGGGTGTTCGCACACCATGTTATTTATCAGGTATCCTGCCCATCCCACCCCTCCAGGGAGGCCCCGCCTGAGCGAGCAGGGTATTCGCACACCATGTTATTTATAAGTTTTCGTGCCTCTCCCACCCCTCCAGGGAGGCCCAGCCTGAGCAAGCAAGGTATTCGCACACCATGTTATGTATCAGGTTTCGTGCCCCTCCCACCCCTCCAGGGAGGCCCCGCCTGAGCGAGCAGGGTATTCGCACGCCATGCTATTTATCAGGTTTCGTGCCCCTCCCACCCCTCCAGGGATGCCCCGCCTGAGCGGGCATGGTATTCGCACACCATATTATTCATCAGGTTTCGCGCCCCTCCACCCCCTCCAGGGAGGCCCCGCCTGAGCGAGCAGGATATTCGCACACCATGTTATGTATCAGGTTTCGTGCCCCTCCCACCCCTCCAGGGAGGCCTCGCCTGAGCGGGCAGGGTATTCGCACACCATGTTATTTATCAGGTTTCGTGCCCCACCCACCCCTCCAGGGAGGCCCCACCAGAGCGGGCAGGGCATTCGCACACAATATTATTTATCAGGTTTCGTGCCCCTCCCGCCACTCCAGGGAGGCCCCGCCTGAGCGAGCAGGGTATTCGCACGCCATATTTTATTATTAGGTTTCGTGCCGTTCCCGCCCCTCCAGGGAGGCCCCACCAGAGCGGGCAGGGTATTCGCACACCATGTGATTTATCAGGTGTCGTGCCCCTCCCACCCCTCCAGGGAGGCTCCACCAGAGCGGGCAGGGTATCCGTACACCATATTATTTATCATGTTTCGTGCCCCTCCCACCCCTCCAGGGAGGCCCCACCAGAGCGGGCAGGGTATTCGCACACCATATTATTCATTAGGTTTCGTGCCCCTCCCACCCCTCCAGGGAAACCCCACCAGAGCGCAGACAAGAAGCAATGGAACCCCGTAACATCTTTATGTTGGGAACTCCGTTAGCATATGTTTTTTGCTATGGGCTGTTTGCCCTGGGGCCTGGGGTAGAGGGTTGTCGCGGCCCTCATAGGGCTCGATCCATTGGAAGGGTAAGTCGAAATCGGCGGGGGACGCTGTGGGAATCCTCCTTCTGGGGCCCTGCATGGGCCTTCCCGTGGGGCGCGATCCGCAGGAAGGGTGTGCCGAAATTTTTGCGGGGGGACGCTGTGCGAATTCTGTCTCATGCGCCGCATGTGGCGTTGTCTGGGGTGCACGATGTGCGTGAAGGGTGTTCCGAAGTGTGCGGGGTGACCTAATGCGATCACGATGCCTTCGTTCCCTTCGTTTACTCCCCCTTACCTTTGCTTGAATCTTTTATCATCCTTCCTTCCGCCAGTATCCTCGGTTCTCCCTCCCCCTCTCTCCCCTGTTGGTGCTTCTCTCCTCCGTCCTCGTGTTGTCCCGAAGGAGACCCGATGGTACTTGTGATCCCAAGCCTGGGTTTCCAGGTATCTTCCATCGGGCTTCCCGTCCCTGGATTCTCTGAGATCTTTGGGCTCGTAAATTTCGTTCGGTTCTTCGATTGTTTTGCACTGCGTTGCGCTGCTGTGCGCCACATTTCCGTTTGTACGGCGTTGTCCTTCACGTTGCATTGGTTTACACTGGCCGTGAATTGCTTTGACTTGTGCTTCACCGCGTTGCCATTCATTTGTTGTGCTCAATTTTGCGTGCGATGCTTTACGTCGCATTGCCATCGGATGTTGTTTCCATGACATTGCGTTGCAATCCACTGTCGCCGTATTGTCTGCGTGCCTCTCACTGCATTGCATTGCTTCGCATTCCCATGTGCGAATGTGTCTTTGTCGGTACTTCCGTCTCTGTTCAATCCGCTCTCTTCCTATTTCGCCAACTCTTTTTCAAAGCATTTGTTGGCGCTGCTTCTGCGAAGGGTGTGAACTCGTGTATGCCCTGGGGCCTGCTAGGACCTGAGCGCGCGAAGCGCGCGCGTGGTTCTAAGGTTTCAGTTTCCATGTCCGTATCCATATCTGTTTTCGATCTATTCCTTCCTCCTCCTCCTTGTCCTTCTCCTCCTATTTCGTCCTCCTCCTCCGTCTATGTGTTCGATCAATGTCCTCCTTCTCCTCCTCCACGATTGGCATGTGGTCTCAATTCCAAACCGCGCGGGCTCGGCGTGTCGGTCCGGCCTCTGGTTGCGGCCCGCTGCGTGGATGTTTAGCGAGGGTCTGTCGTCGTCGCCGTCGTCGTCGTCGTCGTCGCTGCTGCCATAGAAGCCCCCTTCGGACCCAGCTGGGGCCCGCTGGGAGTGCCAGGCTCGGCCCCCGTGGCTTTCGCGCCCCCGCCAGGGTTTCAAGTCATGCAAGGGGATCGTGCCCTCGCGGTGGCGCTCCTGACGCCCCGGAGGGTGCGAGGGAGGACAAATGGGGACAGGGGCAGCAAGAAGAGGAGGAGCTGCACCAGGAGGAGGAGAAGGAGGACAGGGATCAGGAGAAGCAGAGGGAAAACGCACAGGCGTCGAACGATGATGAGGATTTTGATAATGCTTGTGGTGCCAATGGTGATGGTGATGGTGGCGGCGGTGATGATGAAGCTGAAGATGAAGATGAACATGACTATTCATATGAGGATGAAGATGACGATGATGATGATGATGATGCTGATGCTGATGATGATGCTGCTATTGATGATGACGTTGGTGGCTGTCGGCGAGCATTATGATGATACTGCTGCTAATGTTGATGATGGTGAGGCTGATGATGGTGCTGATGATGCTGATGATGACGGCGCCGATTCTGGTGATGGCGATGATGCTATGACGATGCTGATGGTCCTTGTGACGATGGGGATGATGCTCATGATGGTGGTGATGATTCAGGTGATGATGACAATGATGGCGACGACGATGATGATGATGATGATGATGACGATTATGCTTATGGTTATGGTGATAATTTTGACGATGCTGAGAACGATCATGAGGGTCAATTCTGATGATCATGCTGAGGATGATGACGATGCTGATGACGATGATGATGGTGACGATGATGCTGATGATTCTGCTGATGATGATGATGCTGATGATGGTGCTAATGATGACGATGATGATGATGCTGCTGCTGATGCTGATGACGATGATGATGACGATGATGATGATGATGACGATGATGATGATGATGCTGCTGATGCTGATGCTGATGCTGATGATGATGAGATTGATGATTTTGATTATGCTCCTGATGATTTTGATGCTGATGCTGATGATGATGGCTCTGCTGATGATGATGATGGTGATGATGATGATGATGATGATGATGATGATGATGATGACGGTAATGATGATGACGATTCTGATGATGCTGATGCTGATGACGATGATGATGATGATGACGTTGCTGATGGTGACGATGCCAATGATGATGACGACGCTGATGATGCTGCTGATGATGATGCTGAGGATGATTGTGAGGATGACGATAATGATGATTATGATGCTGATGATGCTGATGCTGATGATGATGCTGCTGATTACTGTGATGCTGATTCTGATGATGATGAGGATGATGATGATGATGCTGATGCTGCTGCTGATGATGAAGACGCTGACAATGATGCTGATGTTGATACTGATGCTGCTGCTGATGATGAAGATGAAGATGAAGATGAAAATGATGATGATGATGATGATGATGATGATGATGATGATGATGATGATGATGATGCTGATGATGATGATGATGATGGTGATGATGGTGATGCTGATGATGATAAGGATTCTGATGCTGATGATGATGATGATGAGGATGATGATGATTGTGATGATGATGATGGTGATGATGATGATGATGCTGATGGTGATGATGATGGTGATGATGATGATGACGATGATGATGCTGCTGATGCTGATGCTGCTGATGATGATGATGATGATGCTGATGCTGCTGCTGCTGATGATGATGATGATGATGATGGTGGTGGTGGTGGTGGTGATGATGATGGTGATGATGATGATGATGATGATGATGATGATGATGATGATGATGATGATGATGACGACGACGACTATGATGATGGATATGGTATTGCGATGCTGACGACTGTGATGGCGATCGTGGTAAGGACGGGGAGAATGGTGATGATGCCGGTGATGACGATGGCCACCCTGCCGGGGTCAAGACTTGGAGGGCTTCTTGCCGCCGCGCGCGCGCCGAACGCCGCGGTGATGCTGGCCGACAGACGCGACGTCTACGCCACCGCCGACGAGGAACGCGCCGACTCCGAGGACGCCGAGGAGGGCGGGGTCTCCCCGCGGGAGGGGTGGCGTGGGAGGGAGGGGGAATGGACAGGGGAAGGGGAAGGAAGGAGGCGGAGGAGGCGGAGGAGAAGCAGGACGAGGAGGAAAAGGGCGAGCAGGAGGATGAGGGCAGGAGCATGAGGAGGATAAGGAAGATGATGAGAAGGAAAAGGAGGAGTTGGCGGAGGAGGAGGAGGAAGAGGAAGAGGAAGAGGAGAAGGAGGAGGAGGAGGAGGAGGAGGAGGAGAAGGAGAAGAAATATGGGGTGAGGTAGGGTGGGATGGACAAGGGGGGGGAGTAGGGTGGGATGTTGTGCGTGGGATGGAAGTTTGCGGCACCTCTGAAGACATCCTGATGTTAACGCGCTGGCGCGCCGAGTCATCCACCGCAGCTCCTGGACTGTTGCATGGCGGGTGAGCCGACGTGGGCGGCTCTTATTCGCCAGATGCCAGATAACAGGTGAGTCCCGTTTGTTCAGGAGGTTGTGGGCGGACACTGGTGCCCAGGCGCAGGGGAATGCCTACAAGCAGGAGGCACGTGAGCACGGATCGGGAAGGGCAGCAAAGGAGGAGGCTGAGGAGGCGGACGGGCGGGGAGGTGGGCGGAGGGGGGACGGCGTGGGCGGCGCGGAAAGGCAGCGAGTGGTGAAGAGGGGACGGCATGAAGCACGCTTGCCGCGGGCGGCGAAGCTGCAGAGGGGGAGGGGAGATCATGAAGGCCCGAGATGTTCCCACGGCCCAAGCGGCCTCCAGAGCACCCCCCCGCTCACGAGGCGCAAAAGGGGGGCCCCAGAAGCTCCCAACTGGCGCGAAGAGCTGGGGCTGGGACAGCTTGGGTCGAGGCCACTGTGGCAGGAGCGGGAGAAGGGGGCTGGGAGGGTGCACACCCTCCTCCGAGGCAACATGTTCTGTGTGTGGCGTGGGCTCCCCGGGATCTCGCCCTCTTCTCCCGGGTTGTCGTCGCGGCCCCAAACAGCGGGATGCCGACCTCGATTTTGTCGTGCAGCCAGAGGTTTTGGGGACGAGGGCAGCCTTCTTCGTGTTGCAGCCAGGCTCCCCCTCCTCAGGCGGTGCGGGGACGGAGGGGAGGCGGCCTATCGCCAGCAGCTGGTGTCGCCCCGGGGACGCTCGGGTCAGCCCGCTGCCGCCACCCGCTCCCTCTGCCGCTGTCCCCTCGTCCTCCTCGTCGTCGTGCCGCGCAACAGCCGCGACGGAACGCTTGTGGCCATTTTCGCTCACCTTGCCGGGCCCCAGGACCGCCAAGAGACGGCTCGGGATGCAGCTGCCCTGGGGTCGGGGGTCCCGACCTCCTGGTGCCCGCGCTGTGAAAGATCACCGCGTCACGTCGGGGGCCTGGGCCTTCGCCTCTCTGTGCCTCTGGCAGGTTTATGTAGCACAAAGGACTTGTCCCTGCTGGAGTCGCCGTTTCCGAGGCACGCGCGAGGAGAAGGAGGAGGAGGAGGATGAGGAGGAGGAGGAGGAGGAGGAAGAGGGGGAGGAGGGGGAGAAGGAGGAGGAGGAGGAGGAGGAGGAGGAGGAGGAGGAGGAGGAGGAGGAGGAGGAGGAGGAGGAGGAGGAGGAGGGAGGGGGAGGAGAGGGGGAGGGGGGGGAGGGGGAGAAGGAGGAGGAGGAGGCCGTGCTGATTCTCCTTCTCATCCTCATCCTCGGTTCTGTGGTAGGCGTGCGCCGCGCCGACGCGGCGGCGACCCCAGCGCGGGCGCTTGGGGATGAGCGCCGCCAGAGGCCCCGAATGGGCCGGCATCGAACGAGCCGCGCGACTGAGCGTTTTTTTATTCATTGTTTTGCCGATCGGCGTGGGCCCCCCAACCCCCGCTCCCCCCTCCCACGGAGTAGATCTTGGCTGTTTTGGGCGCCTTCTTCGTGCAGGTGGAGTCACTCCTCATAGGACCCAGTGCTGCACAGGCGCACTAAGCAGAGGTCCGGAGCTAGACCCCCCCCCTCTCCCCCCCTTCCGCCCAATGTCGAAACGCCGAAAAAACAACGCTCAGTGATCGCTCGAGGTTGAAGGTCACCACCCACCAAACCGCCCCGCCCCAACCCAACCCGAAGGCCCCAATCTGCCCTCCATTCCCAGCAGGGGGGCGTTGGGGAACATCAGTGACGAAAACACGTGTGGAACCCATACCCCCCACCTGGTAATTTGGGGGTCTTCGGGTTAGGTTGGGGTGGTCTGGAAGGTAGTCAGACAGGCTCACGCGGTATCAGAAACCAGCGCCAGCGCCATCGCGACGTGAGCCTGCCGCCCTCTCGTTCTTGCCACGGAATCGCGGTCCACGGATTTTGCTTTCCCGGCCATCTTTTGGTGCTGGGTCCTCTCATCGCCGCGCGTTCTCCCTCCTCCGCCTCCGTCTCCCGCTCCCTGCTCCCTGACTGTGCCCTCCGCATGTCTCTGCTCCGGCACACCCCTGGCACGCTTCGTGGAGCTCCCAGAAGGCCCAAATTGCAGGGTCCGTATGCCTGAACACGCTCATTTTGGCACACCCCTCACACGTTTCGCGGTCCTGTAGGGAACTTTGCAGAGGGCCCAAATGGCAGGGCCGTATGCCTCACCACGCCCATTCTGGCACACCCCTTACACGCTTCGTGGACCTGTATGGAGCTCCATAGAAGGCCCCAACTGCGGGGTCAGTATGCCTGACCACGCCCATTCTGGCACACACCCCTCACACGCTTCGTAGCTCCGTCGGGAGCTCCAGAGAAGACCAACATGGCAATTTCCGTAGGCCTGACCACGAGGTCGCCGTGAGCGCGACGCTGAAAGGCTGGCGCGCGAGCCTCGGTCTGTCTTTGACGACACGGCGCGCCGCATGTGGTCGGAGCGACCCGCGGCGGGGAAAACGCCGGGCTCGAGGCGCGCGCGCCGCTCCGCGCCGCTCAAGCCCCGACGTTGTGTCCGGCTGCCGCGTGCCACGTGAGCGACGCGGCCCGCGCCTTCGGCGATGTCTCCGCGCCGCAGAGGCGGAGTGCGACCGTTGCGACAGGCGGGGCGCGTGCGTGGATCTCTCTCTGCGCGCGCGCGCGCTGCCAGCAGGCCTCCGAGCAGGCAGGCGCCGCGCCGCCTGCGCAGTCCGCGGCCAGGTGGGCGCGGGTGGCGAGCGCGCGCTGGCTCACGGCAGTGGCCACTGAGGACCCTCCCGGGGCCGGCACTCGCGCGGCAGCCTGGGAGTTTCGCCAGCGGGGCCCATCGCAAGGCCGAGCGCTCTTGGCAGCTGTCTCGCAGGGAAGGCGCTGCACGCGCGCTGCCGTGTGCAGGAGGGGGCGGCGATGCAACTCGCGTTGAGCGGCGCGGCCTGACCGGCGTCGGTTTCCGCCCTCGCCATTCTTCGTCTCGCAATCGCGAGCGACATTCGCAGCCGCCGCCGCCGGGCAGGCGCGGTGTGCGCGCGGCCCCGCGAGGCGGCCACGCCGCCGCCAACCGCGCAGGGTGCCAGGCGACAGCGCGGAATGTTTGAGGCAGGTGGGACCTATGGGACTCGTGGGGCCTGGGGGACCTCTCCTGCCTGTGGGACCTGTGAGACCTGCGATGCTGGTAATCACGACCTGTGGGACTCGTGGGACCCGCGAGACCAGTGGGACCAGTGGGACCTGTGGGACTTGTGGGACCTGTGGAACTTGTTCGAACTGTGCTACTTGTGGTACCTGTGGTACCTGGAGGGGCCCTTGCGGAGTGTGCGACATGCGGGACCCGTTGGAACTCTGGAACCCGTGGGAGGTGTGGCACCTGTGGAACTTGTGGGGCTTGTGTTATGGCATGTAGGACCTGTGGGGCCTGTGAGACCTGTGGGACCCGGGAGACCTCTTTGGCTTCTGCGTATTGTGATACATGCGAGACCTGTGGGATTTGTGGGGCAGGCGGGAGCTGTTGACCTTCTGCGACCTGTAGGACCTGTGGCACTGGGGGAACTTGTGGCATGTGGGACCTGTGAGATATGTGGGGTCTGTGGGACCTGTGGGACCTGTGGTGCCTGTAAGATGCAAGGAGCAATTGGGAACTGTCGGACTCGAGCGACTTGTGGGATGTGTGGCACCTGTGGGACCTGTGGGGCCTAGTGGCCTGTGAGACCAGTGGGACCTGTGAGACCAGAGGGATTTGTGGAACTTGCGGGACCTGTGGGAGCCGGGTGACCTTTGCTGCTTGGACGCGTTGTGATGCCTGCGCCACCTGTGTGACCTTTGTGACCTGTGGGACCTCTGGGACTTGTGGGTGGTCTGGGACCTGCGAGATTTGTGAGAGGTCGCAAACCTTCCGCAGTCCGAGCACGAAGGAGGAAACGAAAACGGAAGGAGCATGAGGAAAGAAATAACATGACAGCCAGTAGAAGGAGGGTGGAGGAAGAAGGAGACGACGATGAAGGCGATGGAGACAATGACGAGTCAACCACAATTTCTTCGCGGAGCTCTCGATCCGCGAGCTTTTTGGAAGCGTACTGGAGGCCTCTCGGCACAATCTCGGAGCCATTTTGGAGACCTTTCTGTTGGCTCTCTCGGGGCCTTCTCGTGGCCCTCTCGGGGCTCTCTGGGAGGTCTCGGGGGGCCATCACGGGTCCCGGTGTTCAAGCAGAGGGGGGGCCCTTCCTTCAGGTTTCCGTCTCGGAGGCCGAAGCAAGGGACCCTTTTTGCCCTCTCGGGGCGCTCTTGGGCGCTCTCGAGGCTCTCTTGGGCCATCTTTGGGCCAGTGCGAGGCTCCTGAGAACCCATAGGAAATCAAAAGTCGAGACGACAAGACACAGTAATGTTTCACATATTTTTGAAGGAATTAGTCTCTTGGAGGGTGCCTTGGAAGGCTCGGATAACATGTGGAACCATCTTGGAGCGGTCCTGGAACCTCTTGGAGGTATGTCGGAATCTATCTTGGGCCATCTTGAGCTGTCTTGCGATATTTGGGAGGCCATCTTGCAGCACCTGTGGCGCTTTTTGGAGCCATCGTGGACCAAAAGGGGCCCCCCTGTCACCTTGCCCCCCCCTATCCACGCCCAGGGGGGTGGGTAGGGGTAGGGGTCAAACGCCGTCCTAGATTGCAAGCCGTCCAGCTCACTCCCGCCCGCCCTCCCAGCACATAATTGACACCCAAGCCTCAGGATGTTCAGCGGTCCGAGCGTGCCAGGCACGTCTGGTGCGCCAGATGCTCCGCGTGCTCCACGTGCTCCACGACCCTGGCACGCATAGCGACCCCACCCGCTGCGCACCCTCTGCGGTGTGGAGACTGCGGCACGCCTGCCACGCACCGGGACCCTGACACGCAGAGCACCCCCACCCCCACCCCCTGAGCACACCCTGCTCGGATGCCACGCCTGCCACGCCCTGCGAATCTTGATCGCATGTGTTGTGTGGTGTGCGGTGTGCGGGTCATGTGTATGATGCGTGTGTGGCCGTATCGTGACGTGTATTTCATGCGGGTGCCCAGTATGTAGCGCATGCGTCGTGGGTGTATGGTGCAGTGAACACGTCAGGCGTGCACTGGCTTTGCATGGTGTGTGTGTGTGTGTGTGTGTGTGTGTGTGCGAGTATGTGCATGCGTGCGGCTGTATGTAGACGCGTGTCTCATGTACGTGCCGTGCATGTGTTGCGCGCGGCTGAGGCGAGGAAGAGGACGGGGGGAGGAGGGAGGAGGGAGAGAGGCGTGTGCGGGAGGCGCGGGTGCAACGCGGCAGGGGAGAAAACCCGAACCCCACGAAACATGTGGGGAAACACCAATGCAAACTGACGGCGGGTTTGTCGTGTACGGGTGTGCGCCCACGATCTCTTTACGTGGGTGCTTTAGCGGGGATAGTGGGCCTGCGCACAGCAGGCAGCATGCCGCCACCCCTTCCGCCCACGGCAAAAACCAGTGCGAGGTGATCGTGAGGCGTCCGCGCACGATCCAGATTTTGGTGCAATGTGCACTTTGTGTGGTTCCTTGCGCAGGATGTTTGGGGTCGTTGCCATTTCGCGCAGCAGGCGATACGCTCCCCCCCGACCGCCACTGTCAGAACCGCATGCAAAGTGACCGCGGGGCGTTCGCGCATGATCCAGATTTGGATGCCTAGTGCTCTTTTTGTTGTTTTCTATCAGGGCTTCTCGGGGGGTGTTGGCCTGCACGCAACGCACAGTGTGCAGACACTCCCGCCGTCC